GTTATTTTGATGCATGCTCTAAGGTCGTAAGTATACTTATACAAGATGGTTAAGATGGAAGCATTTTGATAGATGATGGTCATGAAATGTGTGTTTAATTTGGTCACGTGAAAACGACATACATGTACTGTTGTTTTGGTGGGAGGAGGTAATCCAAAGCGACACACAGCGAGTCTTTCTGGCCTATAGGAGTTATCTTGTACGTCACAACATACGACAATGGTTGAATAAAAAAAAGGCGTTAATTTTGTGTCTTGCTTGGGCAGAAAAGCTTTCACATCCTGTAATGCAATCATCATCATTATCATCATCATCATCATCATCATCATCATCATTGTTATTATTATTATTTCCCCAGCCTGGCAGCTTCCAACGTTACGTCGACAACAACAGCAACAACAAAAAGAGGAGAGTTTTCGTGATAACAGAGGCTCACCTTTGGATCTTTCCCACGTGTACTATTGCCTGAAAGCCAGGCATCTCTTTCTAGAAGGTCTCGAACAACCTAACCCACCCAGAAGACATCGTTCTTTCGGCTCTAAGCGAGACGGTATTCTGATCTGAATAGTGTGACCCTTCGCAAGAATATTTGGAACAGACAGGATAATTATTCTGAAGCTCTAGCGAGCTCTTATAAACCTAAAAGAGACCCAGAAACCGACAAGAGATACAAAAAAACAACAACCAACCGACGGCAAGAGATTCAGAATTTTAAAAAATAATTAAAAAACGACGGCAAGAGATTCAGAAAACCGAAAAGGCATCCAGGAAACCGACCAGAGATTCAAGAACTGGCTCGACATAGAGAGGCCGACAAAGTAAAATATTATTGACACTGTAACTGTGAGGATTTGCCAACACAATGACCGGACGAGGAGGTTCCTATGACCTGTGGACACCAGACCACAGAGCTCGCCTCCCTCCCTCGGTGAGTAAACACGGACCTTGATTGTTGGGTTATATATCCTAGATCCTAGACTGGGGGCACTGTATGGGGCGATACTCTTTGTTCTCTGTCTGTTCTCTTTGTTCTCTCTCTCTCTCTCTCTCTCTCTCTCTCTCTCTC